TATAGTTATTCTGTTTGGCTTCTTTAATGACTTTTGACAAAATTTTACAGTACATTTTGTAGTGACTTTTTAGTCTTGGATCATTACTGTCCCTACTGGCCAAATATAGTTGTCTTTTGTGTTTACATGAAGTTTTTATTCCAATTGTTATCCAGGTGGATTTGTTTTTATTTTCATTTTTGACTATTTTTAAGGGAAAGCTTGAATAAAAGATCCTCAAGTATGTGTTCAGAAAGCAATTAAATTTAGAATCAATATTATTGCTGTCAAATACATTGTCCCATGATTCATTACTTAATTTTGTGACAAAATCTGCCATCGTATGCTCGTTGATTTTCCTTACTGTTTGATATTGTTGATTACTGGGCTGAAGGTCAATATTATTTATTTCTATGAGTTGAGCATCATGATCGGTATAACTGCATTACTTTACTTACATTAAAAGGATGCAGTGATTTGAATTCTGAGACCTGTTATCATATTCTTGATGGTAATGAGGAAACTTAACAAAACACGAATGTTAATTTTTCTTTACTTTCATGGCACTTACATTTCATTCATTCTTCTGGATCCATATTTATTCTCTTTGCTTTTGATGCAAAATATTACCAAGAACAAAGGCTCTGAGATTTAAAGACAACAGTAATATATGTATGAGTGCAGTGATTGGTGATCAAAATCTAAAAGCAGGTCAATAGTGAATGAATAACATGTGGTATTTTAGTCTTTCATATATAAATGGTTAAAATGGGATGGCCCTAACCTGACATAATCACTGCCTGGCTCCTTGCGGATACAGTTGACGAGACCCACAATGCCGCTGAGTGGTTCACCCTGAGCCACAAGGATAATGTGACGTTTAGAGCTGCTACTGATGGCAGTTTGCACTTCAGGCAGCCAGTCATAGTTACTGCCAGTCACATGGATCACAACTGGACTTTCCACTGTCACTCCCTGCAACAGGTTCCACTTGTACTTCCCGACCACCCAGCAGTCAGCACAACACATTTGGAGCTACTGGAGCTCCTTGAGGGCCACCTTTCTGTTCACTGGGTTTATATAATACAAGTATACAGAAGAGTTTTATTATCTTCTAAAGACTAATTTAAAAATAACACATTTCATCCAGAATATAAAGATTATGCAAATTAATCCTAAATATAAATTTTAATAATTGTCAATAATGCCATTATTTTCTTTCCCTCTCAACACAACAACTATTAAAATCTCATCCACATTTACTCTGTGTAATGAGTTTATTGGTCATAATGGTATGGCAGTGTGCTACATGTTTAGGCTTATAAAGCCATCTTGAGACAGTATACATTAACATCTGTTCATAAACTACTGAATTGTGTTTTTACATGAATTCATATAACACAATATAACAACTATTATTAGTGTATTTGACTTCATACAGAGTTAATATATTCAGAATTTCATTAGAATTAATACTATTCTTGTATATACGAGGGGGGACCCAAAAATAACCAGAACCGACCTGTTGCGCGCGCATGCTTTGTAGTTACGAGTTGTGCTGCTAGGTGGTGTTAGCTGGGGGTCTCCCGCGACTGTTAGTGAGCTGGCGTCAGTCTGAGTTAAGTGGTTTGTCTGTGGTGCTCTGTTGTGTGCGTTCCTGTTTCAACCCTTTGGCGATTAGTGAGATGGCCGACCAGATGGAACAAAGAGTGTGCGTGAAATTTTGCTTTCTGTTAGGGAAAACTGCAGCCGAGACTGTTGGGATGCTTCGGCAAGCCTTTAATGATGATGCTTTGGGGAAATCACAGGTCTACGAGTGGTTTTCC